ACATTTTGCTTCCTCTTTACGATCAGCAAAAAAATTTACTTCCTCGTGGAGAAAGCAAAATTTTATTGACAAAATGTGAATTTTTGATTTTTTAACTTTCATTAATTCTTTAAATTTACGTCAAATGTATACTTTATATATCGATCGATTCGTCTTGACGTAAGGAATACAATTATTTCAGATATAACCTTCAATTTAAAAAATCACAAAATTTTATAGCCAAAATGTGAATATGATATTAAATGTGATAAATGAACAAACTAAAAGTATATTTTGCTTCCACGAGGCAGCAAAATATACTTTTAGTTTGTTCAAAGGTTTTTTCTTGATAACTGCATAAAAATAATTCTACTTTCTTTCCCACTTAAAATTAACTTGTACACAATTTTTGTCTCCCTTTCTCAGGCGAAAACTCGGTAGAAGAACCTCCAGAGAACCAGTGAAAAATATACTTTTAGTTTGTTCAAAGGTTTTTTCTTCATAACTACATAAATATAATTTTGCTTTCTTTCCCTCTTAGAATTAACTTGTACACAATTTTTGTCTCCCTTTCTCAGGCGAAAACTCGGTAGAAAGACCTCCAGAGAACCAGTGAAAAATATACTTTTAGTTTGTTCAAAGGTTTTTTCTTGATAACTACATAAATATAATTTTGCTTTCTTTCCCTCTTAGAATTAACTTGTACACAATTTTTGTCTCCCTTTCTCAGGCGAAAACTCGGTAGAAAGACCTCCAGAGAACCAGTGAAATATATACTTTTCGTTTGTTTAAATGTTTTTTCTTGATAACAACATAAAAATAATTCTACTTTCTTTCTTGCATAGAATTAACTTGTACACAATTTTTGTGTCCCTTTCTGAGGTGAAAACACTGTAGAATAGTACCTATCAGAGAACCGCTGACACTACCAACTTTTGTTTGTGACAAAAATTTTTTTCTTGAAATCTTCGAAAAAACATTTCCTACTTTCTTTTCTGATTATAAATTACTTATGCATAATTTTTCCTCGCTTATTGAGGTGAAATGGCATTATATTTGTCTTTTTTTAGTTATTTCAGATAGTTAATTTTTTACGCTTGTTGTATGTTAGGAGAGTAGAATCTCCCGTTACCCTTCGGACGTTTAGAAAATGAAGTTACTCTTTCGTTAGTTGAATACCTAAAGAAATTGATCTGGCGGATCAATGAAAGGCACATAACCCATTTGAAATACATAAGTTATGTGCCCTTCTTTGATCCGGCAGCTGAATTAAATATAAAAAAAACAAATTATCGAAAAAAAGTAAAATTTCTTTTTCTATAAAAAGAAGTAAGGCTCTAAAAACCATTAATATATTAATGATTGGCAATAAATCGATATATCGAAAAAGACATCGACGACTTTTATAATTAACGACGACATAATCTTTCAATTGTTTCACAATTTGTTTTCTTTGTATTAAGGAATAAAAGTACATGAATAGAGGATTTATAGTCAAAATATTTTTTAGTACACGTCTATTATTGATGATTCCCGTTTATTACTGCTTTAAATTTCATAACTTCAATATATACCTACATCAGGAAATATAAATATATATCTTCTTTCAATATAATAATGGAATAAAAATTCCTCTACACCTCACCTCGTTTAATAGATGTTAATGGCACATTATTCAAGCTTACCATATTAAAATTCAGTCACAGGTGCTTTGAGAATTTTTCGGTTTCTTCAAAGGAAACATATGTGCGTGGGATGTCGATTAATAGGTCAAGTGCCATTTGTACAAAGTGATTATACATATATACAAAAGAGGCGATAAACCGAAATAGATATATAATATTTTGTTAATTTATTTCACGACTTTTCATCGTTACTTTCTTATATGAATAGCAATTTCCATCGTCAGGTTTCGAGTATGTATACATACGGTATATACTGAAGAAAGGTATAAACCCCGCACGTGAGGCCATAGATTTCCAATTTTATCGCCCTTTTCCTTTGGCTTCTCGTTTGGTCCTCCAAAGTGAGCATTTCGTGTCAATTAGAAAGTCTCACCTTTACAGCTTCGCCAGCTCATTGGCGGCACAAACTTTACCTACATCTATTATCTTTGTATTTTATATTCGGTGCCCACTGTTTTGAGAAAGGATACTGCGTATATATTTCTTCTTATTCCCACAAAGTTTTAAGAGCATTTGAACCTTCGTGACGTCACAAATCATGGCGCATGACACGCAAACTTCTCAGGTATGTGAAAAGCACAATTTTGAATATTTTTTAAAAAAACCTTTTGGAAAATGTTCAGAATAACATAGACTTTGTCTGTTATGTACGGAAAATTCAAAATTTTGCGTTTAAAACGTTTTTTAAACAATGTTAAGGTCACAAACATGGCGCATGACACGCAAACTTCTCAGGTATGTGAAAAACACAATTTTGAATATTTTTTAAAAAAACCTTTTGAAAAATGTTCAGAGAAACATAGACTATGTCTGTTATGTGCGAAAAATTCAAAATTTTGCGTATAAAACTTTTTTTAAACAATGTTTAAGTTGATTGTCACAAGTAAGGAAAAATACACGAATTGCTTATATGTAGGCATTGTTTAAAAAACGTTTTAAACGCAAAATTTTGAATTTTTCGCACATAACAGACAGTCTGTGTTATTCTGAATATTTTCCAAAAGGTTTTTTTAAAAAATATTCAAAATTGTACTTTTCACATACCTGAGAAGTTTGCGTGTCATGCGCCATAATTTGTGACCTTAACATTGTTTAAAAAACGTTTTAAACGCAAAATTTTGAATTTTCCGCACATAACAGACAGAGTCTATGTTATTCTGAATATTTTCCAAAAGGTTTTTTTAAAAAATATTCAAAATTGTGCTTTTCACATACCTGAGAAGTTTGCGTGTCATGCGCCATGATTTGTGACGTAACGAAGGTTCAAATGCTCTTAATTTCAGACCAAACTTAGCATCCCTGGCCTCTGGAATTAAAAACTGATGCGAAGCGTTAGATTTCAGGGGCATTGAAAATATTTTCTCTAAATTAAAAATGGAAAACCAGTTACACTGGATTTAGTTTCACTGATTTCTGCAGTAAATTTTAACGGGTTAAGAAATTTTTTTTGAACCAGGGTCAAAATGTGAAAATTTCTTTAAGAACTTTCTTAACTACCCCTCCCCTCTCTCTTTCACTTTGGTTCTTACGCCAATGGACATTCATAGAAGTGCCATTTGAAAGCAATTGATTATAATCTTGGATGCTGTGTGGTTGCTTAAACGTGGCGGGTGCCAGATAGGAATCACAACAGAAAGTCACCAGCTTCTTCTTCTTCTTCGCTTCATTGTGCGCGTATACATATACATACCAAAGCGGAGATAGAATAACTTAAAGCCCCACTTAGCTACTAATGCTGTCGCTATCCGCGCCCTTCTTCGTGTAAATTATGTCCTCTGAATGGACCACCTTCCTTGCTTTAAAGTTTCAACCGCAGCTCTCACCAACACTAGAACTAATCGCCCTCACACTGTTCTATACGTGTGTAAGCCTTTCGCGATCATTCTTTTTCAAAATCTGATATACCACACTTTTCTTGGAATGTATCGCGCGTTCTGTTTATATTTATAAATGGGGGATTATTCCTTTAACGGCCCAGTCAGAAATTTAAAATTTCTTAAATCGGCTTGATACTTTGGTAAATTGTTGTCCTAATATACATGTATATATGAAAATAAAAATATCCTAAAATATTAAGTCATTTAAAAAAAGTCGTAGAAAAAACTTTTGACGTTTTAAGTGACACTGTCATATTTAAATACGTATAACTATATGACAAACCTTTTCTTAAAATTAACCCATATTTTTCAATTTTGATTTATTTAAATTTTTTATTTTCTTTTGAATCCTAAGGTTTTTTCAGTAAGTTATATTAATATATAAATATGGAACAATAACACTTACAGAAAAAACTTTTTTGTTGTTGCAATTCATTTTGAGTTGGATATCGAAATGAGGATGGGACAAAACATATTTCCTTTATTATTTTGTACGCGGTTACAAGCAGTTTTCTAGTTAGGTCTTGTAATTATATTATATTTTATGAATTTGTGCAAAATTATTCGTTATTTCACAATATTTTTCCCTTTATCTAATTCTCAAAATGAGACAACCAGTTTCATTTTTGATGCGTATGAATTTAAGTACGAAAAAAGTCCTACTCTAAGTCTATGTCACGTGGTCTTGAAAAATTATTATTACATCGATGCTTTCAAAATTTGGAGATTTTGTGACTTTTTTATTTCATTTACACAAGTTACTATAAAATCTCAATAAAGAGTTTTCTTGCTTTAGTAAGTGCAGCGATTGAAAAAAATAAATTTTATTATATATATATATATTAAAGTAGCTGAATGTACATTGGTAAAAACAGGGTGATCCCTGACCTTGAAAAATAAGTATCAGTTTGAATTCTTGTTGACAATAAGTCAACAATAATAAATAATTATATTTTTTTTTTTGATTTTGTAATCAAAGAATTTTTACTACTTTGTATATTATTCGAAAACTTGTCAACATTGCATAGTATAGGTGTGATTTTAAAGCCCTACTTATAGGTGAACGAAATTACTGTGAATGTATTGTATAAATAAAATCGAAGATCAAAACAACCTTGAAGAAATAAATTACATTTCGTTAATAGCCAATTTAAATAAAAATATTGTGGCATATAGAAACCGGTGGGGAGAGAAAAATACGTTCCTACGACCCTGAATGAAAAATTATTTTTTGAATAAAATAAATTTTGATTTTTAATATTATAAAATATCATAATATAATATATATATATATAATATAATTATTGTAATAATATTATTATTCATATCTATAAGATAAATATAATATTTAAATTAAAATAACATAGAAAATTTCACTTTGTATTTACGTGATTGGTGTAAAATTTAATTCATTTCAAAATTCAATTCAAATTCATCTTATCCTTTATCAATTTTTCAGGAGTGCGGAGTCACTGCAGTAGCGTAAGTTAACTATATCAGTACTTAATTGAAATGTGACCACGTGTTGTAAAATAATTTTAATTTTTATAAATGATTTTTTAGCTTTCGAGAGTGCTCGTACTTTTTAAACCTGCAAACGAATGAGATTTACTTTTTTGTGAATTAAAAATAATAATTTTTTAATATCGGGAGTGTTCGTAATATTTAAAATCGCGATCGTATATGTGAAAATTATAAATAATTTTAATTCTTACAGTTAATTCACACGTGGTGCGGGAGTGTTGAAAATTTTTTGAATCGCCTGTGAGTGTTTTTTTCTTAACCTGAAAAACAACGTTCAAGTGCCGCTCCGGGATGGAGATCGGGCATGAGCGAAGGGTATCCACGGTAAAATTTTTTATTTTATTATTAATAATTCAGAAAAACAGAGAATTTTGAACATTCTTTTTATGCAATGCATTTTTTAATTATTTTTATTTCTTTATGTTGCAGACTGAAGGACAGGAAGGAGGATGCAGAGTGAGTACCCCGGTCTCTCCGCATAGAAGACTGGGGACTGGTCCAGAAGAGGCGATGCTGCCATCGTTACGTCGAGGGAATCCGCGATCGGCAAGTGAAATATTTTTTTACAAAGGTAGCGACACAACCGGAAATGTTTAATTTATTAAATATAAATTTTATTTTAGAAATTAATCGCCAGAAATAGCAAAATATTATTTTAAATGTAGGAAATTATAATTTCGACATTTAAAATTTTATAAATTGTTATTTATTTCAGATATATTTGTTTTAATTTACCCCTTCCCCGTTTTTAGGGTTCCGTACTCGGTTCGGAACACTATTATAATATCGGTTTTTTTGAATTCGTGTACCCCCCCCCCCCCTAGCGGCCACATAAATTTATCTGGAGGGCTGAAAATTAGTACACATATGTATTTTCGCGTGTAGATTACAGGAAAATTATAGCGAACTTGATTGGAATTGATTAACATAGCGTTGTCAAGGAAAAACCATGAATTTTTACGAAAAATGCCTAAAAATGACTATGTACCCCCCCCCCCCCCTAGCGGCCACATCTTTTGACATAAAGAGCTCAAATTTGACACACTTACGTATTTTTACGTGAAAATTACAGGAAAATTATAGCGAACTTGATTCGGATCAATTTACATAGCGTTGTCAAGGAAAAATCAAAAATTTCGAAAAAAATAATTTATTCTCCCTAGCGCACACAATATTTAACCCAGACAGATCATATTTAGTATACAAATGTATTTTTACGGGAAAAATACAGGGGAAAAAAAGCGGTCACGATTAGAGTTGATGATTAACTTTTTATCAAGTTTTTCAAGAAAAAATGACAATTTTAGGAAAAAAATGTATTTTTCCACCAAAAACGAACAAAATTTTATTTAAAGGAAATTAAATTTATATATTTTAACGTATTTTTACGTGTAGATTACAAAAAAAATATAGCGAGCATGATTGGAGTTGATTATCATAGCGTTGTCAAGGAAAAACCATGAATTTTTACGAAAAATACCTAAAAATGAGTATGTACCCCCCCCTGGCGGCCACATCTTTTGACATAAAGAGCTCAAATTTGACACACTTACGTATTTTTACGTGAAAATTACAGGAAAATTATAGCGAACTTGATTCGGATTAATTTACATAGCGTTGTCAAGGAAAAATCAAAAATTTCGAAAAAAATGATTTATTCTCCCTAGCGCACACAATATTCAATCCAGACTGTTCATACTTACTGTAAAACTCAATTTTTGCGTGAAAAATACAGGGAAAAAATGTAAGCGCGATTGGAGTTGATGATCAATTTTTATCAAATTTTTGAAGAAAAATGATAAATTTCAGAAAAAAATGTATTTTTCCGCAAAAAACGAAAAAAGTTTTTCTACAGTGATTCAAATTTATATATTTTGACGTATTTTTACGTGTAGATTACAAAAAAAATATAGCGAGGATGATTGGAGTTGATTTTTCTGGAATTAATAAACAAATTTTATTTTTTAGATAACTTTCGATTTTTCCTTGACAAGCAGCTACTAGCCTTATATCAATATCTTAAGTTTTATCTCTTTTTGACTTAGAAAGATAAAATTTAATATTCAATATATTTTTAAAATGTAAATACAATAAAAATATTGCGAGTTGAAATAAAATTATGTTTCTTATATTTTTTTAGTAAAATATTTTTTAAAAAATAAAATCGGACAAGTGCGAGTTACACTCGCACTGAAATCGAGGGTTCCGTACTCGAAGCGAACTTATTTGGTATAAAAACAAATGTTTAAAAAATATGTGTTGTATGACAACTAATATAAGTGATACAAAAAGGAACAATTTTGTAAAATTCAAGAAAATTGTTCCTTTTTGTATCACTTATATTAGTTGTCATACAACACATATTTTTTAAACATTTGTTTTTATACCAAATAAGTTCGCTTCGAGTACGGAACCCTCGATTTCAGTGCGAGTGTAACTCGCACTTGTCCGATTTTATTATTTTTAACCATTGTTTATTTGTTCACCAGTAGTTTATGAAAATTGTTACGTCCCGGAACGTAATTCCTAGTATAAGTCTATTTGCATTTGGGCAGTTTAAGTGAGTGGCAAATGTCAGGGTTGCGCATTTCAGAAATGGCTACACTGAAAAAAAAATTCTGGTTAGGCTATATTTAACATTACTTTCTAGTTATGTTAACCAGAATTCTAGTTGAATTAACTAGAATTCTCGTTAAAGTAATCAGAATTCTGGTTAACGTAACCAGAATCAAAATGTTAAATATACCCTAACCAGAATTCTGGTTCTTCTAACTAGAATTTTTTTTTCAGTGTAGGGAGGTAGTTAGTTTTATTAATGTATAGTAAATTTTTTATTAAAATATAACTATAGGTAGGGAATTTTTTTGGTGTGAAAGTTTCTAGTTTTCAGAATTTTTAATGATATATCTTGTGTCGCTACTTTTGTTTTCTCCTGTAAAAAACAGTATTATATTTTTTGGAAAAAATAACTGAAAATAACTATTTTTTCTAAATAAAACTGTAAATGAGGTAAAATATTTTTATTTTGTTCTGTTTAATAATTTTTCTTTCAGTAAGAACATCGTGGTAAGAACAACATTTATTTACACATATATTTTATAACGTTTTAATCTTTTTTTTTTAAATTTCCTGTGTTTCAAAATGTTTACTTAGATATATTTGTTAGATGTCAATATTTTTAATTCCCGGGAATTTTTACTGTATTCCCGGGACCATCCAAGCATTTTCTAGTGGAATATTCCTGGAAGATTCCAGGAATATGTTATGTGTTATCTGGGTTGTACGTGTTTTTTTTTTTTCATTTCAGATATTCTATAATTTGTATTTACCACTTCATTTCTTCTTTTTGATATTTTATTTCTATGATTGTCATTTTGTTTCTTTTTTTCATATATTATATGTCTTGACATTACTCGTTGATTTTCTTTCTTCTTTTTATGATAATATAATATATCCGCAAATATCAGATATATGATACCATTTTATTTGTTTCTTTGAAATGACATTTCTTCATTTTAATAGTTTCTTTATACACCTGTCTTTTATACGTTTATTTAGAAAAACATCAAAAATTTCAAGAAAAATATCTTCTCTATTATACACATATATAAAAAATAGGTAAAATTTGATTGATGGTAATATAAATATATGTTTCTCTCGCCTCAAAGATCACTCACTATTTTCATTTTAAAAAAGAATTATAACGGAAATATTTTAAAATTTGTTTTCGGAATGTTTAAAGAAACTTGTCATATATATATATACACCTATAATGTATTGGAATGTTTATATCAGATTAAATCTATAATTAACTTCCATCATAAAATATGTATTTTTATTTTTTTTAACGTCATAATTTAAAAGTAAATAAAAATAATTTTTTACATTTATTTTTTTTATCTTCGAATTATTTTAATTCATTATCAGTTTATCACTATAAAAAATTGTGTCTTGGTTTAAGACACTGAAATGTCTTAAATTAAGACACTTTTGGTGTCTAACACTAAAAATTTTTAAAAAGAATAAGACAACAAAATGTATATTCGAAAGTTAAAAATCACTGAATTGTTAATTAGAAGAAGTAATAGGATCCTCTTCCTATAATTTTTGATGAGATGGTCATGTTCACAAAATACACGTATATATGTATAAGCTTGTGGAAAAGGTGCCGGCTTTAATAGAGATTAGAGAACACGATGCTCAGCGCGCGTTGTCGTTAATGCAACGTCTTCACGATTAATTAAAGCCAAAATGGCCGATCGTCACTTTTTCTCTCGTACATGAATCGGTGACCACCATTTTATCTTTTGGTATATTCCCAACCGGAGTGGTTGTCCCGATGCCAGCCAAAGAGCAGAGCACCAAAAGCAGTCAGTCGTAAAGCAAGAGATAAGTCGCCGCCTACCAAAAAGATTGCCGAAACGGCAGCAGCTGTATATGCTCCGATAGATATTATATACCGTGCCGAAAAGGGGCAGGAAAGGATAAATCCTGTCACTGATTAGAATCAAAATTCAGGACTTAAATTTTCCACTCTGAAAAATTTTATATTCCTTTACACAATCATTTAAAAGCCCCTCTCCCCAATATATGTATATACAATGTATATATTATTTATATATATATATGAAGCTCTCGACTTTTATCCGCTTCATCAAATTCTCATAAATTTTATCTTCTTTTTCAATTATTTTTACATTATGAATTGAAGTATCATATTTAAAGTCATTTAAATATCAATTTTTTTTCTCATTTTTATTGTATTAAAATTTCGCTTTTCGATATTGTTAATAATTGTATTTAAAAAAACAGAAATATTAAATGGAAGAGTAAATATAAAAAAGAAGAAATGAAAACAACAAAAATTTTTCAATAAAAATACGAAATGGAAGAAGGGTATTGAAGGTATACATATATATGTTACGGGCAATGTCCGAGAATGCCCGGGCATTGTCGACAATGCCCAAAATCAGTGGGCATTGTCGACATTGCC